GTTTATCTGTGAATCGTGACGATGAGCAAAATCCGTCCCTCAAAGACAGTGAAAAGCAAGTCTCGTGTGAGCACTTTGACATTTCTTGTAGTGCCACAGACAGCACTCCTAAGCAAGCCAAGGGTCAGCCATACAAGAGTCTGTAACCCGACTACAATCCAAGCCAGTCTGATGACATTAACTACCGAAGGTTGAAGCGTTGTGGTTAGTACTCCGGCTTCGTATTCGGAAAGTCCTCGGTTCGATTCTCGTCCCAGGGAAGGGGTCATTCTGACTGAGCCATTTTGGGGCGTAACTCCAGGAAAATGTTAGAATAATGCATCAGTCATTTCATGATCAACTATGAGTAAGTTCCTGTGAATTACATAGACCATTTGCACGAGCAATGGCACTGCCAATGATTTAAATTGTAGTTGGTTACTCCCCCATACGCCTTCATGGCGTAGTGCTTAACTGGTTAAGCACAGGGAAAACTTTGCCTTTAATTGGTTAGAATTTTGGGATAGCTCAGTAGGCTTGCTACGGCCTGGACGATAGAGGGGTCGGAGTTCGAGTCCTGGTAGGGTCAAGAATTCTCTCTTCTCCACGTCATGCAGACTGGTTCTGGGGTCCATCCAATCTCCTATCCAGTGGGTACGGGGGCTCTTTCTCCTGGGGTAAAGCGATGGGGGTGTGAAGCTGACCACTTATCTCCAGCTGGTGCCGAGGTCAAGAAAATGTAGATCTATATATTCACTTCCACATACTCCTTCCTGGAGTAGTGCTTAATGAGTTAAGAACAAGGACAACTTCAATTGGTTAGAATTTTGGAATTACAAAAACGAATAAGTGGGGCATAATATTTCCACAAAACTTTCGCGATCTAACATTCGTAACTTATTTTTTAAGCCTGATGGAATCAATTTTCCATACCGTTTAAATCATTAACGACCATTCTCTTGCGAATGTTTCCCCATTCATAATTCACAATCATCCTGCCAATGAGTCAGGAAACAAAGAAGCACACAAAAAAGTCTTGGGAACAACTCGCGGAAAAGAGATTCAAAATCGCTAGATTAGAAACATTGCGGTGACAGAAGATAACAGCGCAACCAGAAGTCGTAGTTTTTGGATATTCCAAATGACACCACGCATACGAGGGACCACGGTGGAAGTGTTAAATAAATTTACATTGAGTCTGATTTGTTATGATGTGGAACATTTCCTAATTGTAGTCATTGCTACTTGACCCAGTTGGCATGTCCTTGAAGCAAGATGGATTAACTTAAAGGGACGGTTTCAGTGATGCATTTAAATTGGCAACTGATTAAAAAAAAGATTAAATATCAAACCTGGTCACAAATATCATACCATTGTGGGCTTTTTATTACTACTTTACGACGCGTATCCGTTGCTGTTACGTAGCGTGAAATGAAGTGAATCGCAGGATGCCACACACATGCAACTAAACAGATGGTACAAGAAACCTGCGTGTACATAATATGCATTACTTTAATTTATGCTTCAACAGCCGGGATAGCTCAGTCGGTATAGCGACTGGCTGCGGGCTGGAATATCGAGGGGCGGAGTTCGAGTCCCGGTAGGATCAAGAATTTTCTATTTTCCACGTCATTCAGACCAGCTCTGGGGTCCACTCAATCTCCTATCCAGTGGGTACCTGGAGCTCTTTCCGCGCCTGTAAAGCGGCCGGGGCGTGAAGCTGGCCACTCACCTCCAACCAGTGCCGAGGTTAAGAAAATGCGGATCTATATATCCACTCCCCCCATACGCCTTCATGGCGTAGTGTTTAATTAGTTAAGCACAGGGACAACGTTTCCTTTTTTTACCTTTACTTTTATGATTTACTGCCATCCTAAATTACTTTAATTTTATATACCAATATTTTAATCGTAGACCTGTAACAAGTTTTCAACGGAAGACAGTACTTTTCAAGTTTTCTTTTATAATTGTTTTGACATCTTTGAGGATGTACATAAATGGCAGAACATCCTGAGCATTGTGATCATTTAGCGATAAAAAGGCCATTTCCACTAGATGGTGCCTTTGAATTCAATTTACAATAGCAGAATTTTCCAGGAGTGTCTGAGGAAAACGACGGAAATATTTAGCCAGGATATTCGACTTATGATCGGACTTTTAACCAGACCTTTTATCGTAATGCCACTGTTTGGTTTCTGTCTTACAGACTAACCCCATGTTGGTATTTTTGTTGTGGAAATATTTCTACACATAAGTAAGAAGTGTGAGGAAGCATCACTATTTATATATTTCCCATAACAGGAAAACTTACAAGTGTGCCGGGAATTTCAGAACGTTTTAAACGAACTAGTCTTTAGGCTATAACGCAATGAATATAGGTAAGCTGGAATTGCGCTCTCATACACATTGCATTTGCTAAAAAGTACTGTTACAGTGAAAAACTAATATCGATCTCGAGATTCTGGCAGATTTACATGTTTTGAGGCCTTTCCCTCCTCCTTACAAAAAAGCAGTTTTTGAAATGTCACTTATTTGTATGTATGAACGTGCAACTTACTGACACCTGGATGGATCTCATTCATATTCACTGTGTAAGAGTTCATCTGTCTAAAGATAAAGTTATCCTTGTAACAGACCGGGAAGGCCCATAGGGTTGTGAGACGTCGAGGTTCCCACATTTTCTATGGACAATTGGCTCACAAATGGCGGTAAGGTTGTCAGCCTTACGTGCCGGCCGCCCTTTAACCCCCAGGAAGATTCCTGGTACTCATTTCTGTTAGAGGCTGGGTTGACCACAGGGCCATAATGAGGCTGGAAGGATTACGTAATTGAAAAATAAATCCACATCATCGGGATTCGAACCCGCGACCTTCCGGTTTGTAGCATAGTGCCTCAACCAACTACACTACCGTGTGCCCCCTACTATGAATATTCTAGCTCCAAAATATGAAGGCTCTTCAGATGAGCCCCTAAAACAAAATGGCGATTTTCTCGAAAATGACTGCTTATAAAGTTTTTGATTACATTTCGGCACTTTATGGAGACTACATCCCCAAAGAAACGTCCATAAGCGGCCTCTTCACGAAAATAACCGTACATGCACTTGGGACCCAAACATTATCTAGACAATTGGCTCAAAGATGGTGGTAAGGTTGTCAGCCTTACGTGCCGGCCTTGCTTTACTCCCCAGGAAAATTATTTATTTAATTCCTGGTACTCATTTCTGTTAGAGGCTGAGTCAACCCCAGGGCCATAGTGCGGCCGGAAGGATTAGGTCAATTGAAAAAAATCCAATGACCTCATTGGTATTTGAACCTGCGACCTTCTGGCTTGTAGCATAGTGCCTTAACCACTACGCTACTGCATGAAATGATGCATAATATGATCTATCATCCACAGGTAAGTTTTAAACCACTTAACAGATTGATAAAATTCGGTATGACAGCCTACAAGCTGTGGGGAAAATCTGACTTTCCTTCTGAATATTCTTCCCATTAATATGTAACTGAATACTACTTTACATTATGCTCAAATCAATATATGCAAAATGCTCAATACCAAGACTTACTGACTGACTAGTGGGCTAGAGGACTGCTGAGGACTGTGAGAAGCTGGTAGTTGAGGCCAGGGATAGTTCGGGAACCCAGCTTCATCACATCAGACTGGGTGAACTCTGTTACTGGTAAAAAGAGTCACACTTAAAAAATCCAATTCAATTTAAAAAATGTATTTATTTAGAAAAAAGAATTAGCTGTACAATTTTGCAGTTAACAAGTTCATATTTTTGTAAAAAGAACTTCAACTCTAAGAACAATGATACAATAGAACATTTCAGGAGCTTTTTGCTTTTCTGACTGAGCACATTAATCTACAACACGAAATTAACAGCAACAACAACACAATGACACAACCAAATGTCCACTTGTTTCATGATCCCGATTTGTCAACATCAAGCTCAACCCTTGAAAGTATCACAAGTTAAAAGTCTTAAAAAATTGTTAAAGAAAGTAACAGAGATATCACGAGGCTTCTTTCTACAGTTGCAGACTTATTGCTGACTGCAGAGCAACATGCTGGCCATTCTCACATAAGGTAGTAACACACGACCACACACTAGAGGCTCTGCCAAAACTAAACAATTTTTTTTCCATTATAGCTATTTCACACACTACATATTGCATCTGCAACAGAAAATTGCGTCCTGCAATACTGATGTAACAAATTCTGCAACAAGCTGAAGTTCACCTTCCACACTTTCTATAAAAACATTCTGAATTTTTATCTGCAGAGTATCTGAAGAGTGTGAATTATTTCTGTAGAATTTATGCTTCTCTGCAGTAAAAACTACATTCATTCAGACCAAGAGAACATAATAGCATTAATCACACATTAAACATAATGCCACTGTAATAAGAAATGCAGAGTTTGGTCAATCAGTGCACATTTGTTCTCGTGATCAATTGGTTGAGAGCATTATTTGAATTTGCGGTATCCAACTCACAAAAAAAATAAATACCAATTCTATGGATTGGGTTCAATCAAAAATTCACATAACATCCCCTTTATCTAATGCATGTGATTTCTATCTGTAGGGAAACATGGAAGTCTTCTGAAAAAAATCCATGCACTTCAGATGCTTTACAAAATGGCATCCAGATGCTCTTGAAATTTCAATGTGTTGAAGAATTTATGCTGATGTGAAATGTGTTTTTATGTCGAAGAACACCATTTTCAGCAACTGCTGTATCAGGTGAGTAAAGCTGTCTTCATGCAACATTTTTGAAGCACGGATGGAACCTCCAGTTACACTGTGTGACAGCATGTTTTTCTTTGTTTTTTAAATGCTAGTGGGGTGGGACTAAGTCCCTTGTACTGCGGCCACTTCTGGCCTATTGTACCAGCCCCAGATCATAGGTGAGGGTGATTGTGGAGTAATTGGTGGAATGAAGATTGGCAGGGGAAACCAAAGTACTTGGAGAAAACCTGCCCCAGTGCCACTTTGTCCACCACAAATCCCATTTGACCAGACCCGGGATCGAACCCGGGCCGCTGCACTGGGAAGCCAGCAACTAACTACTTGAGCTATGGTGCGGCCTCTGATAGCATGTTACTATCATACCCATAAGTTACCACCCACTGGCTATTATTCTATGAACAGGCAGTAAATGAAGGAAGTAACCTCTGTGTGTGTGTGTGTGTGTGTGTGTGTGTGTGTGCGCGTGCATGCGTGCGTGCATGAGCGCCACGTGACTTGAAGTCTGACCAGCTTCCAAAAAAATATCACTGCCATTCTGGTGTTCTTGACATGAAAACGAAACTATCTTTCCTTGTTTTGAGAAAGTGAATTTTCCAAGGGTTGCTTATAAGTTAGCAAGATGGAACACTCCTAAATATGTTGCTCCCATTATAACATAGCTTTAATGAAGTTAGTACATGCACAAAGTACTCTGTATGCAAGTTATATTAACCGTGGTACAAAATGAGTTTAGCAAGAGCAAATACCTTTCTTTATCTTAGCTTGACCCTTACAAACAATGTGGAATGTTTTCAGGATCAGAATGTTATCACAGTTTTTAAGTGAGGGTTGAAACTGGGCTGTGCATAGCAGCATAAACAGGCACTCAATCATATTTTAATAGGAATACATTACTGACATTATATATATATATATATATATTACTTCACCCCTCACTGCTCTTCATGGAATACAAAAGTTACTATACCATTTACCATCTGGGGTGGGCAACTTAGACTGACTGATAAGACAGGTTTCATTACCAGTCAGTTGAGCTGCTTAGCTTGATATGAGAAGAAAAACAAAGATCTCCAAACAAGTACAAACAAGAGAAACCTGCCTTATTTGCCTGCCCATGCACACTTAAAATGGAACAGAACATACATTGCATCTCCTCATGTACAAAATGTTTTCATGCTTTATGAGCAATGCATATGAGGCAGTGCTACAATAAATACTATGTGGGAAAGTCAATGGAGAATGCAGCCATTTCCTAAAATTTATGTACAACTTGAACTCTGTGTGGTAACATATCCCAATCTCCCACTCAGCATATGCTGCACCCCACTATTAGCCTTCCCTCATATCGTACTAACTATGCCTTTGCTCTTTGCTGGAAGTTAAGTACCAGGTACGTTATATTAGTCCGCTTTCCTGGCTTTACGTTTTCGAACATTGGAATTTTCTTCCTCTCCTTTCGTCTCTGTGTCTGAACCACTCTGAGTTGCAACCGCATCAGAGCCTTCTTCATCCACATCATCTTTGATGATATCATCATCCTGTGCAAAAAAAAAAAAACACAGCTATAATGTATCACACATATGTATACTGGAATTACATGCGAATAGGCACTCTTGTTACTCAGGCATCAGCAATAAACAAGCCTGTCTATCCTCATTCTTGAAACACCACATGCATTTCACAAGTGTTAATGCAGATGATCAAATAGCCTATAGTTGTATCTGGGATGATGTGAAAAGTAAATTATGGAGTTTTAAAAAATTTCACACTGAAGTATGTGAATCATGAATAACTGAAAAATGTATATATTTTAAAGTGCAAAGATAATGATTAAAAAAATGGCACAAATTGCATTTTCTGCTACAAAACATGGTTGTAACTTAACATGCAGTGGCCATTCCATAAGTCTGTTGGATAAAACATCACATATGCCCCAGAAAATATCATACTATAGTAACTTTCAATTTTGGCCATGTCATAGCTCAGGAGGGGGGCACGCGGTAGGTTAGTTGGTTGAGGGGCTATGCTACAAGCCGGAAGGTCACGGGTTCAAGTCCCGATGAGGTCATTGGATTTTTTTCAGTTGACCTAATCCTTCCAGCTGCAGTATGGCCCTGGGGTTTACTCAGCCTCTAACAGAAATGAGTACCAGGAATTAATTAAATCATTTTCCTGGGGAGTAAAGCGCAGCCGGCGTGTAACGCTGACAACCTTACTGCCATCTTTGAGCCGACTGTCTAGAAAATGTGGGACCCTCGTCTCACAACCCTAGGGCCTTCATGACCTGGTACAGGGATAGCTTTACTTTCACATAGCTCAGGAGGTTACTCGCCGGCTCCCCACCGCGGCGGTCCAGGTTTGAGACCACATCAAGTAATATGGGATACGTGGTGGACAAAGTGGCACTGGGACATGTTTTCTCTGAGTACTTCTGTTTCCCATGCCAATTCTCATTGCACAGACTGCTCCACACTTTCCATATGTCATCCAAGGCTGGTACAACAAGACAGTTGGTGGCCAATGTACAAACTGAACTCAAGTCTCACCCCACACCAAGAAACTTAAAAAAAAGAATAAAAAAAAAATAAAAATAAACCAAAAAGAACTTTCAATTTTCATTATTCAAAACTAATATAAAAATGTCACACACTGTAGAACATGACTGGTGCAACAGTCAATAAATGATGGGTGAATATTATTCTGACAAGACCTCTGTATAATACACAATTAGATATCCAAATGTCATGCTGCCCCTCTTTGCCCCAACAAAACAACAAAAAAGTATGCAAAACATTAAAGTACATTCATAATTCTCACCAGCTCGTCACCACTAGGTTCCTTGCCGCCACTCTCCTGTTCTCCTTTCTCCTTTTCAAGTTCTGGTTCAGTTTTGCTCTGGACTAAAACAGGTTTTGGTGGATAAATTAGATCTATCAAACACACCAACACCTGAAACAGTAACAATGAATCAAGAGCATCTGCTGGCCTCAAGACTGCATTATTCTTCACTAGGGAAGACACTTACAAGTCCAAGCAGAGCGCCGATTATAATGGTAGCAACTGCAAATATCAGATATGAGCACCAAGTTGGCATCCCATACTCCTCCATCAGGTTATTGTGGACAGCCTAGAACAGATATAGAACACGTAAATAATCTTACTTACATATGGAGCTGAGCCCTTCTTGAGGAACCACCAAATCTGCAGCTACTCAAGAATTTCCCAGCAGTTTATGGAACCCGAAGGTTCATTACTGTGTTCACAAGAGCCCTCCGCTGGTCCCTATCCTGAGTCAGATCAATCCAATCCATACCATCCCATCCTGTCTCTCTAAGATCCATTCTAATATTGTCCACCCACCTATGCCTTGGTCTTCCCAGTGGTCTCTTTCCTTCTGGCTTTCCCACCAATATCCTATATGCATTCCGCTTCTCCCCCCTTCGTGCTACATACCCTGCCCACCTCATCCTCCTTGACCTGATCATTCTAATTATACTTGGAGAAGAGTACAAGTTATGAAGCTGCTCATTATGCAGTTTATGAATAATTGCCCTCAGAAATTCTTAAGTACTTCAAAATAAATTGTGAAATACATGAAGGTTCAATTAACTCAACACAGTATACAACTGATCAATCATACACATTTCATTTGTTCATTAGTATATCCCTATCAAAATTCCCACCTCATATCATCTCATTCTTGACCTTCACAAATTTTTTTCCCTTTCATTACATTATTCTATATTTTATTATTCATTCATCCAACATGCTTAACCCATTTCTTTTCATAATTTATTTTTTATTCCCTTGGCTATACATTTCTTCTGCTCTGATGTCTTCAGTCTTCGATGTTTTATTCTCCGTAAACCTTAAAAATGTCATCGCAGCTCAGTCTTTCTCTCTCATTAGTCAAGTATCATTACCAAAACAAAAATACAAACTCTGTGGTTTTAGTCCACAAGCGAACAATACTGACCAAGTTACCACCGCTTGTCAGTGAAGTTAGTGCTGGCTTTAGTGGATAGAGGGTGTTGCGTGGTCATAGCAATGAATCCCCATGGCCGTTAAATTCGGTTTTCTACACTGGAGTTGCTATTTCCTTCAAACAGCTCTTCAATTATCCTCATGAGGCTGAGTGGACCCCATTTGAGAACCAATACTACTCAGAAAATCTGGTAGCACCAGGAATCGAACCCAGACCTCTGGATCGGTAGCCAGGAACTCTGACCACTAGACCACATTGGTTGTCAGTATTATTATCACAACATCAATATTATCACTATTTTATAAAATGAGTATTTTCTTTCACTGTACACCAAACAGCAACACATAGAAATACACACTGTCAGGCTCATTCTTTTAATCTCATAGAAAATAAACATAGAAACTGCCACAAGGTTTACGAAGTACTGTGCATGTATTACATGGCATTATAACTTATACCATACCCGTAAAACTTGTGATAACTTGAAGAAGTAAGAAACAACTGACATCTGAAATGAAGCAGGAGACTTCCAACTGGGAATTGCATCAACAGTTTTCCATTTCTCATCTTCAATAAAAGAGATAAAGGCATCCTTGTCTCTTGCACCCCGATACTGGCGAAACTCTCCATTCAGAACACTACAGGAACAAGATAATTATAATTAAAACAAATACCCCTTAAAACGGAAAAATTACAGATAACTGAACACACAGTTTACTATCACACATTTTCTCTTAACCCAAACTGCCCATTGATAAACCCACATTAATTAGTACGATGAGATCGTCTTAATAAAGGACTACAGCATGTTAACCTGCTGATGCCCACTTATTTTAACATGCCATTCTGCAAGACTTAATTCATTATGTTTACATTTTGAAACTGACTCATAACTGGAAATTGATGTTGGCCACATTTCAATAAAAAACACCCCGTTAAAGGCTCCTATAATCATTCATCCAGTATACTAAACTGTGAGATTTCCGACCTCTTGAATGTCATACCAAGTACTCCGGTAGGTTACACAACATGGCATCGCATACCAGACAACAGTCACCAACATGAGAACCTCCAGTCCCACTTAATCCATTGTGCGCGCCATAGCTCAAGCGGTTAGTCGTTGGCTTCCCACTGTTCGATCCCGGGTCTGGTCAAGTGGAATTTATGGTGGACAAAGTGGCGCTGGGGCAGGTTTTCTCCGAGTACTTCAGTTTCCCCTGCAAAACTTCATTCCACCAATTGCTCCACAATCATCCTCACCTATCATCTGGGGCTGGTACAATAGGCCAGAAGTGGTCACTGTACAAGGGACTTAGTCCCACCCCACTACCAATAAAAAAAGATAATCCATTGTGATTCAAAATATAAATGACATAAAAAAATCAGTTACTCCTGAGGTGTAACTCCTGAAGGACATACTGGAATATGGTAGGCAAAGCTGTCACCATGAACCTCCCACTAAGCCCTGGTGATGTAGTCACATCAACCTGTCCCACTTTAATGCTGAGATCTTCACTCCATGTTGAGAATTCTTCCCATAGAGGCTGCAGAGCCTTGCAAGCAGGGCACCAGGGAGCATAACTGCAAACAAGAAAAAAGGACCAACCAAATTAAACTACCCTATGTGTCTGACCAAAAGTAATGTCTCAAATCAGGGAAAACTAAAATGCTACATGATTACTTACACGAAATCAGTACATGCAGGAAAACAACATATTAATGACTAATCATCACTTTCACTATATGTTGGCTGTATTCATAATTTATATTTGAGTCATCACAATATACAGAGTGTCCCAGGAGGAATGTGCCAGACTTCGGGAGGGTGTTCCTTATGTTAAAGTATGCCGATATAACCCAAAACACCTATGTCCAAAGTTGAACGGTTACGGAGATAATGGCCAGAGAAGTGTGAAACTTTGACAGGTGTTACACACTTACTGATTACCAAACACATATTAAAACTGCCAGGAATATGTGGTTTCTGTAATGTTAATAATGTATGTAACATCAAACTAACTTGTGAGTGACATGAAGCCATTAAATTGAACTACAAAAAACTCGCACGCCATGTCATAGTTGTTGTTAGGGTTCCAAGCACTATACATGACACATGAATGGCAAGCACTGATGTAACATGGTTGACTGTGCATTCTGGTAAGCAAGTGTATGCGGCTACTGTGAGCCGTCATCAGCACACTCAAGGACAAACATCGATAAGACTTGTCACCTGACAGGTACAGTGCGTGGACCCGCCAGAAGACAACACTTTTCTCGGGCCATTATCTCCGTAACCGTTCAACTTTGGACATAGGTGTTTTGGGTTATATCTACATACTTTAACATAAGGAACACCCTCCCGAAGTCTGGCACATTCCTCTTGGGACACCTGTATATTTTCGTTGTTAGTATTTGTATTGCAAAATAAAGTTCTTTTTCCATCAAACATTGATTCTCATATTATTGATACTAGACAAAGACAAGATTTGTATCTACCTCAAGCTTATTGAACTGTTTATCAAAAAGGAGTTTATTATCCAGGTATGAAAATATTTAATAAATTGCCCATAGAGATCAAGAACACATCTAATAATTTTAAAAAGTTTTAAGGTTGTATTGAAGCATTTCTTGAACACTCATACTTTTTATACTGTGGATGGATATCTAAATAGATAACTTCTATTTTTACTGTATTCATTTTACTGTCTAGGTGTAATAACTATGTATTCTATGCTCTATATTATTTTATGATGTTCTATATCCATCTTTGGATCTCTTGAACTTACAATAAATACAAAATACAAAAGCAATTACAAATAGCAGATGCATTTATGCTGGATATCAACAGCACATTCATATAACATTACCCTACTGGCTTATTTAAAGACTACATCAATTTCATAGGTCAAACAGCAGAATTATGGATAAAGTTTAATGGACATGGAAGGAAATAGTTACAGCCTATCTCAAGGTATAATCCTGGAATATGCTCATGACTGACTGAGAAAAGCTATCATAAACCTGGAAGAATAGCCGGTCTTTGAACCAGCAATCAAATCCAGGTACTCAAGAATGAGGCAGATGAGCTACCCACAACAGCATAATGTTTAGTTTATCACAATCTGGATATGTGCTCATATTGCTGTCTTCAATAAATTAAATTGATAATAACTGGAAATGCTTTGATATGATATTCAGTGAAACATGTCCAGCTGTTGTGTTATCCAGAGCTCGAGTAGCAAAATTCCTGAATTGTGCCAAAGCTAAGGAAATGCACAAGAATTACCTCAGGTCAGAAAATATGCATACCTCTCCAGCAACTGATCATCATTACACGATGTAATAAATATAATGGACATACTCCCATGTACATGTTCTTTTGTGCAAAAATATTCTGATACAGAATTGTAACTGAACCACTTCACCTTGAATATTAATTTATTCTAGCAATTAAATACATCTGAGACGCAGATGTACTACTTTGGAAAAGCAATACACCTATAAATCAATCCAAATGAAAGTCGGCATAAAAGCAAATGAAACTACACTGTAAATGATGCAAACACATTATTAAGCCTCAAGTACATGTGACTAGAGGGCAGAAATCCTTAAGCACAACTACTGTAATTTATAATCCGGTAACACATGTGACAGAAATTAAATTAAATACAACACGATAACATGAATATACTCTCCATCATTATCTTGGGTGCACTGGTGGTACACGCCAAAGAAGGAGATCTAAAATGTCTTTTCTTGAAGTTCACATACTTACAATTCTACCATCCATTCTTTGTCAAGCATTTCCTTCCAGTTATCTTCATTGAGCTGTACTACTTTTTGTTTTCCTACTACAATGCATATTTCAAATATCAACATAAATAAGCTGTGTTTCACTAGCCTACTACACACTTTAACAGCCATCTTACATACACTACTAATCTTTGACGTGTTTGACATCACATCTCATACCGTTGTTTGAAAGCCTCATTTCCCGTGTCGGGAGTTATAAATTTCCCTCAGGGCCCGATCAAGTCTAAATGCTTCGTTCTTAATTACAACAGTGACGTGAAAAAAAGAGCAGAAACTATTATCGTTTTTTCACTAAGAGAAGAGTGGGTTGTAAATAGTGTCGATCCGAGAGATAGCTTTAATTGCCTGTCCTGTCTCGACCGTCTCGACGGCTCTAGACTTAGTAAACAGTGGTCAACAGTATGTACCGTATGTACTGATCGCTAATTGACAGATGATGCGGCAATTACTAAGACCAGTCAGAATGATTGTATAAGCTGACAACATCCCCATAATTTTCAGAAACTCTTGTCCAACAGCAATGAAGAGTGGAATAGTTGTTTCGCGTAGATGTAACACAAATTGCCTCCGTTCTCCTTTGTTGGATAACATGTATATTCGTAATAAAGACTCCACCCTCTTCGTCGGATTGGTCCAGCACACCTACATTTGCGCAAACGCAAGTACAGAAAAATGCTTGTACCGCTTTTATGCTACAGTATTACATTTGCATATACAATGAGGAAAATGAGATGAAAGGCGGTTGTTTGTAGAATAATTTATCAATGTGTGGAGTGATTTTCTTAAAACTACATTGGCGACACTGTACTCGTATATTAACCCTTTAAGCATCGTTAAACATAGACAATCAAAGAATCAATTATACGTCATAAGGACGTGCGTAATATTGTGTGTCGTGTGGAGTAAAGTGGTCAATTTAATCGGAACGTAAACAGAATGGCGCATTGGTTCCACAGGAACGTCTTCAAAGCCACAACACAGGTTAATTTTGAAATAGGGATGGTAGCCTCAGATCAAAATGCGATTAAAATATGCAGGTAAAGTAGGAGTTGTTTGGATTTTTTTTGTTTTTTAATTTCACAACAGTTACTGAATAGTACTGTCTTCTAGGGGGGGCAAGCGCCTGCTTATTGCTTCGCCTACCCTTCGACCCAAATGATGGAAGTAGTATGTTAGTTGGTTAACTCTGTCCGGAGTACACACTGTTGCGTTCCAGAAGCCAGTACTGTTTTTAACATTCTGTTATTTAAGCCGTGCAGTAACGATGTTTACGACGAAGGCAACAAAAACACCTTTATTTTTCAAATGCAGCTTTTAGTACAACAGTGTGTATGGGCGAAGAAATACACAGTTTCTTTTATGCATCTCATATACTGTCAAAGTGGTGTTACAGTATAAAGTACAAACATCAAAATTGCTGTCTTAAACACATTTCTGTTTCAGTGACTTGAAGGCATGTAGACGGAGATTGCTTGAACTGCTTCCAGATCCAAGTCATTCACCAGATGCTATTGAGTCAGTGTTTAATATGTATTTATCCTTACTGCATGGTTTTTTGGTGGTACCTGGTGAGAACACCCCAAGTAAGATACGACATAACATTCTCTTCAAGTGGACTCATTCGCTGCTAGGAAATACACCTCAGTAAGTTATGTATATTGATTCCATCTGTGTGAACTTTAATTAAAGCTAATGAAGTAACATATTTTAATATTTTGTATTTTGACAAGTGTCTTGCGTGTGAAAATAAATTAGATGTAGAGGTTAAATGTTATTGGACAAGAATGAGCTATTTCATGAGGTTATAAATGAGTCATGCAGAAGGGATATATTGTATAGCTCCTGCAATTGTCTGATAGTGAATGCTAAATGTCGTTTCATGTGTCTTCTATAAACTTAAAAAGAAGATGCTAAACACACTGACACACACATAGCTATATACACACATAACCAGGTTGTTACAGTAGCAGTGCTGCAGACTGACACTTAGATGATGCTAAAGTAAGACCTAGAGTAAATGTAAATACAGACAGAACTACCAGCAGTTGACATATGTTCATATGTCGGGAATTTGTTTTATTATTTGATGTGAATGTGTTCATCATATAGTCCTGAATGATGATGTGTGTAAACAAGTGGGCATGAATGGTTATGCCAGTATATGAGGGCAGTATCATGTACAGCAAGAATTTAGTCTTTCTTATGTTAGATTTTTCAATTCATCTAGCCCTTCCAGCTGCACTGCAGCCCTGGGGTTGACTCAGCCACTGAGAGAAGAGTACCAGGAATATTCCGGGGGTTAAATGGTGGCCAGTGCATAAGGCTGACAACCTCACTGCCATATGTGAGCTGATTTTCTAGAAGATGTGAGAGTCTTGACATCTCACAACCCTATGGGCCTCTCCACGGCCTGTTACAGGGATAGTTTTACCTTTTCTTTATGTCTCACACTGGGGCCATGTGAGTGTAAGAATGTTCATCAACAAGTTAACTAACTTCATAAACTGAAGTTCCTCAGAATCTAGTAGTCACTCAGCTTGTTAAGAAATTTTGTGTTGTTTAAGTAATCTGAAAGTTTGTTACATGTTCACAAGATCTCACTTCAGGCCCCTGTCTTGAGCTAGATGAATTTGAAGAACACAGTCTTCTGGGATGTGGCATGGTGGCACATCCCAGAAGACTGCTTTCTTCGTAGTCACCACCGTGAAAACCTCAAATCTTACATAGATGAATTTTGTCTACATCATCACACCCTATTTCTCTAAGTTCCATTTTAGAATTAACTTCCCTTTTACATCAAGGTTTCCCAAATGGTCTCTTCCCTTATGGTTTTCTGACTGTATTTTTACATGCACTTCCCATGTATCGTTCATGTTATGTGTTCCACAGATCTCAGTGTCTAATTTGCATACAGTAATAATATTTGTAAAAAATGACAAATTATGAAGCTTCTCATTAAGCTGTACTTCTGGAGAAAGAGCCCTGAGTACCACTGAGTAGGTTGCTAGAAGGGCTTGAGAGCACATTTGGACATGGTAACAAAAAGAGAAGTCCCACATATACTGGGAAATTATTCATGTTTTCACACTACTGACTACACAGATTTGGTTGGTGCATTTTTTCCTTGCACCCTATTGCATTTCAGTATTAATGGCATTTACAATTCTGTGTAGTGTTGCAGCACTATATGTCTAGAAACTTTGTGTACTTCAAATTTGAGTACAACTTTTTTTTTTGGTCCTCTTTTTTTTAATAACAAAATATGAGAGATTTTAATTGCATTTCAGGCTTCAACAGGATGCCATGTATGAAGTTGCTAGTATGAGTTGCAATGTAGCATTTTGGTATATGAAACATGCATCTGTGATTGCTTCAAAGGATGAGTAAGTCCGAACTTTCTCTCGTAACATAATATTCACTATAGCATGCCAGTCTAAACAAAAACACTTTCTGTTTAACTGAAATTAAATGCTTCCATGAAAAGTGACAAACATTTCTAGTCTTCCATGCATGTAATATAAGGTGTATAGGTTTTGTAATAGACACATGTTTTTTTTTTTGTGACGTATGAACTCAATTTTTAAGCCCACTTTCCTTATTCTGAAAAAAATAAAAGTAGGCTTAAACAATTTTCATCCTGTCCATGTGTTTGTGTCTCCCCCGTCAACTTTTGAAGGCCTGAACCATTCTTTACGAATGGCTGTCATGGCACCTGAGCCCATCTCAGCGACATAATTCATAAATCTCTCACATCAGTCTGTGTATTATAATAGTAATAATAATAATATTCAAGTCAATTTTATTTCATCCATGGATCATTATACATGATATGGGACAAGTCAAAGATTAATATTAATACTAATACTAAATAATAATAAGTATATAATAATACAGAAATAATATGACAATATAATAATAAATGATGATGATGATGATGATAATAATAATAATAATATAGTAATACAGAGATAATAATATGACAATATA